TATACCCTGAGAAAAACATAATTCAAAACGAGTCATGTACCAAAATGTTCATTGCAGCTCTATTTACAATAGCCAGAACATGGAAGCAACCTAAGTGTCCATGAACAGATGAATGGATAAAGAAGATGTGGCGCATATATACAATGGAATATTACTCAGTCATAAAAAGAAACAAAATTGAGTTATTTGGAGTGAGGTGGATGGACCTAGAGACTGTCATACAGAGTGAAGTAAGTCAGAAAGAGAAAAACAAATACCATATGCTAACACACATATATGGAATCTTAAAATTAAAAAAAAAAAAAGAAGGTTCTGAAGAACCTAGGGGCAGGACAGGAATAAAGATGCAGACGTAGAGAATGGACTTGAGGACACGGGGAAGGGGAAGGGGAAGGGGGAAGGGTAAGCTGGGATGAAGTGAGAGAGTTAGCATGGACATATATACACTACCAAATGTAAAATAGATAGCTAGTGGGAAGCAGCCACATAGCACAGGGAGATCAGCTTGGTGCTTTGTGACCACCTAGAAGGGTGGGATAGGGAGGGTGGGAGGGAGACGCGAGAGGGAGGAGATATGGGGATATATGTATATGCATAGCTGATTCACTTTGTTTTAAAGCAGAAACTAAGAGACCATTGTAAAGCAATTATACTCCAATAAAGATGTTAAGAAAAGAAAAAGGAAAAAAGAAAAAATAGACATATAGAACATAACGTAACAGGGAATGTAACAGAGGATCTAGCAATAGACACAAAACTAAATGGTCAACTGATTTTTATCTAAGAGGAAATAAATAGTAAATCAAATTTGAAAGGACAGTCTTTCCAATGAATGATGCTAGAACAACTGGATATGTGTTCAAGGGGTGGGGAAGAACACTGATGCTCATCTCACATCATGAACAACCTGAAATGTATCATAAACCAAAATTTAAGAAATGTTATTATAGAACTCCTGGGGAAAAAAAGCTGAGGAAATGTTTATGATCTTCAGGTAGGCAAAGAGTTCTTAGCAGAACACAAAAACCACAAGGTATAAAAGAAAAAAATTATTTAATGGACTTCATCAAAATTATAACTATTTGCTCGTAAAAAGGCACAAGTAAGAAAACAAAAAGCAAGCCACAGACTGTGAAGAAGTATCTGCAAAACATATCTGACAAAGGGAATATGCAAAGAGCCCATGCAACTCAATTAATAATACACAAAAAAGTTAAAAATCAGCAAAAGATGTGAACAGATAATAACAAAAGGTACATGAAAGGCCAATAGCACACAGAAGATGCTCAACATCACTATCATTGGGGAAACACAGATAAAACCAAAATGAAAACCCACTACTTACTTACTAGAATGGCTAAAGTTAAAAAGATTGAAAGTACCGAGTGATATCCAAGATGTAGAACAATTGAGAATCTCATATATTGCTAGTAAGAATGTGAAGTGGTACAGCCACTTTGTAAAAGTTTGGCCATTAACTCTACAACTGCAATGTGACCCAGCATTTCCAAATCCTAGGTATATATACCAAGAGAAGTGAAAACCTATGTCTACACAAAAACAAATAATGTTCACAGCACTTCATTCATGCTTATCAAAAGCTGGACACAACCCTAATATTTGTCAACTAATAATGGGAAAATTAATTGTGGTATAATCATTCTATTAGATACTACATAACAATGAAAAGGAACACAATACTGATACGCACAAGAACATGGATGAATCTCAAAAACAGTATGCTAAATTAAAACAAAACAATACATGCTATTTGAATCCAGGTGTGTGACATTCTAGGAACGGCAAAATTAGAGACCCACAAAGCATATACACAGATAACTGGTTGCCTGGGACCAGGGGTCAAGAATGGGAATCAACTGTAAAGGGAGACAATGGAACACTTTGAGTGATAGAAACATTCTATATCTTAATTGCAGTAATGATTACACAACCCCATATAAATTGCCGAAATGCAGCAAATTTGAACACTTAAAATAATGTAAATGATACTTCAAAAAAGCCGGAGAGAAAAATCATCAGCTATTTTTGTGGAGTTAGTTTATTTGGAAAAACAAGCAACAAAGAAAGGACAGCCAGGGAAACCCTAGAAACAAGAACAATGGGGAAAGGGTGCCACAGCACTACCGTATACATACTGTATATGTAGTGTAAACCTATTCCAAAACCTCTAAGTAAAATAGTATAGTATTAATTCATGAACAGACTAATGAAACAGACCACAGAAAATATAAGTAGACAAAACTTCATATGAAAATTTAGCATACAACTAAGGCAACATCTCAAATTAGTACGGAAAAAATGAAATTTTTTAACAATATATTATGTTGGGATAATTAGCCATAGGCAAAGAATAAACTTAGATGTTCCTCACACTATAAATCAGGGATAAATCCCAAATGGATCAGAGATTTAAATTAAAAACTAAAACCATTTAAGTACTAAAAGAAAATGTGGATGAATTTCTCTAACACCTGGGAGTGAGGAAAAAACTATCCTATGATTCAACATGCAGGTGCAATTTAGAAAAAGACTGATAAATTTGACTAGATAGAAATAACTTCTGCATGGACAAAAACAAACACACAAAAGCAAAATAAAACAATAAATGAAAACTGCAATTTTTATCACAAATAAAGGATAAATATAGATCATACATAAAATATGGCTATACAAAACAGAAAGAAAACAATGGCCCAACTGAAGAGAAATGAACAAATATTTCAAAGAAAAGGAAACACAAATAGTCTTTAAAATTCAATTAAGAAAATGCAAGTTAAAAACAAGACACCATTTCTCACCTATCAGATTTCACAAAAAGCCTGCTGACATAAACTTTCTTGGTTAAGACCAAGGGGAAACAAGAGCTCCCAAAGGAGTGGTTCACACCACTAGACCCAGCAATCCCAATTATCAAGGAATCTATACCAAAGAGAATCTATACCAAAGAACACTAACAAAAAGACACTTTTACTATTTACTGCAGTACTATCTGTACTGAAGCAACTGATTGAATAAACAATGGAAGAAATCACCATGACACTGGATTAGGCAAAGATTTCTTAGCTACAAAACCAAAAGCCCAAGCAATGAAAGAAACAGTTGAGAAATTGGATGTCATCAAAATTTTTAATTTTTGCACTTCAAACTATACTATCAAGAAAATGAAAATATAAGCCACAGACTTTGAGGAAATATATGCAAATTATATATCTGATAAGGGGTTGTATCCGGAATGTATAAAGAACTCTTACAACACACCGATTTTTTTTTTTTTTTAAAGTTTTCGGCCGCGCCACGCAGCATGTGGGATCTTAGTTCCCAGATCAGGGATCAAACCCATGCACCCTTCATTGGAAGCGTGGAGTCTTAAACACTGAACCGCCAGGGCAGTCCCAACACACTAATTTTTTAAAAACCAAATTTAAAAATCAGCAAAGGGTTTACAGAGGCATTTCACCAAAGAATATACACAAATAGCTAATATGGTCATTAAACAGTGCTCAACATCAGTCATTAGGAAAATGCAAAATAAAAACTGTAATAATGAGGATATGGAGAAACTGGAACCCTCATACACTGCTGGTGAGAATGTAAAATGTTACAGCCACCCTGGAAAACAATTTTGGCAGTTTCTCAAAATGTTAAACATAGATTTACTTTACAACCTGGCAATTCCACCCCTGGTTATTTACCAAAGAGAACTGAAACTATATATGTCCACACAAAAACTTGTATACAGATGTTCACAGGAGCATTATTCACAATAGCCAAAAAGTGGAGACAACTAAAATGCTCAACTGATGAATGGATATATAAAATATGGTATAACCACACAATGGAATATTATTAGATAATAAAAAGGAATAAAGTATTAATACATGCTACACATGGATCAACCTTAAAAATATATGCTTAGTGAAAGAAGTCAGTCACAAAAGACTACATATTATATGATTCAATCTATATGAAATACCCAGAAAATACAAATACACAGAGACAGAAAGTAGATTAGTACTCGCCAGGGGTTGGGCATGAGGTTTCATTACGGTGAGATAGACATGTCCTAAAGTAAGACTTTGGCTATGGTTGCACAACTCTGGAAATTTACTAAAAGTCACTGAATGGCATAAAGAAGTTGAATTTTATGGCATTTAATTACACTTCAATAAGCTTTAAAAAGAAGAAAAGATAAGCCATAGACTAGAAAAGATATTTTCAATACATTTTTTTAAATTACCAAAATATACTGTTAAAACTTCTACATATCAAAAAGAAACATAAATTAGGCAATAGAAAAAATAAAATCCACCTTAAAAATCTGAAATGGCAATTCAGATAAAGAAACCCCACTGGTCAGTAAACTTATACTTCAAAGTAAACATGATGTGAAAGATTAACCTGTCCAGGTAACTTTATGCACTGCTCAAACTAAGAAAATAGATGATTCATTGCTGTGCACAGTTCTTCATTTAGGTACTGGTCTTTTAAAAAATGGTTAGGTTCAGCTGTCCTCAGAGCTCCAATTATAGACAGACTATACCAATAAAGATTTTCATTTATGCCTTCCTTCCCTTTTCAGCCTGATACAGCCATCTTCAGACTTCTTTTATTCCTAGGTACCAACTTAAGACAACTGAAGAATCATTTTGTTGCCATTTGATTTTAATGGCTTTAACTTTCACACTTTGGATCATCTTTGGCCAACAAACTGTGTCAGAATAATCTAATTCTTTTAACAAAATACAAGTTGATCATACAAGACAGCACAAATGAAGAACACTCATTTTTCCCTTTCCAATCCCTTTTGCCTAGAAGTAATATTTTCAATTAACAAAACAAAAAAGCAAGAGCACAATTCGTTTTGAGTATAAACAGCAGTAATCTGCCAGAGAAGAGAAGGGGAGGGAAGAGGAGAAGGGAAGGGGAAGAGGGAAAGAGGGAAAGAGGGGAAGGGAAGGGATATGCAAGTGTGCACTAACCTTCCAGTAGTCAGATTGTAAACTGTAGTACCTCTGGTATGCAGATAATGCTGAAAGAAGGAAAATAAGCATGAGTCACAATTATGTCCCATTTCAAAATCAATTAACAAGTTTTAAGAAACATTACAACAAAATTCCCATCATACTCACCTCCCGGCAGATAGTGATATTTAAAACCAAACAATTTAAACTCTGGGGCGTCCCTACTCATGGTCAGACATGGTAACCAATGTCCAATATATAGGAGTTCAAGGAAGTAAAACCATGGTCACATTTCAGACCTGCACTTCAACAGAATCTGGGCAGGCAACCTCTTGAATCAACTTGACCTTCCTCAGAGACCAAATCTGATAAATGGATTAATACTCCAGAATGTGATGGGTCCTCTGTTCTAACAAGGGATCTCACTTCCAAAAATGACTAAGAGGGCTTCCCTGGTGGCACAGTGGTTGAGAGTCCGCCTGCCGATGCAGGGGACACGGGTTCATGCCCCGGTACGGGAAGATCCCACATGCCGCGGAGCCGCTGGGCCTGTGAGCCATGGCTGCTGAGCCTGTGTGTCCGGAGCCTGTGCTCCGCAACGGGAGAGGCCCACATACCTCAAAAAAAAAAAAAAAAAAATGACTAAGAGCTCAACCACCTCAAAGAGCAAAGGAACTACAGTTGACTCTTGAACAACACAGACATAAGAGGCACTGACCTCCACACAGTAGAAAAGCCAAGTATAACTTATCAACGGCTCTCTGGATCGGCAGTTCTGTATCCTTGGATTCAACCGACCACAGATCATGTAGTGCTATAGTATTTACTACTGAAAAAATTCCATGTGTAAGTGGACCTGCGAAGTTCAAACCCCTGCTGTTCAAGGATCAACCGTATTCCTTTTGTGCTGCTCCCTTTCATACAATCAAAAAAGAAAAAAACCCAGCCCACAATTACCTTACCCCAAACTCCAACTCAATTCCAAAATAGGGCATCCCATACCCCTAAATCCATCTCAAGGTATAACAGGCTCTGGAAGAAATTAAACTACAGTCGTCCCTCAGTATCTGCAATGGATTGGTCCCAGGATCCGCCGCAGATACCAAAATCCACTGTGATCAGATCCCACAGTCGGCCCTGCATGTGCACGGATTCCACATCCACGGATGATAAAAATAGTAGTACATATATGTACTGAAAAAAACCCACGTATAAGAGGACCTGCAAGGCTCAAACCTGTGTTGTTGAACAGTCAACTGTAGAGCTTGTCAATCCAAAAACTCAGTGAGGGGCAGGCAGTAACAAAGTAAAGTAAAGGTTATACATGCACATTAGAATTGGTAGAGAGCCTTTTTTTAAAAACTCATGAGCAATAAATAAGTCACGGGGGTGTAATGTGCAGCATGATGACTATAATTAATAATACTGTATTGCATATTTGAAAGCTGCTAAGAGTAAATCTTAAAAGTTCTCATCACAAGAAAAAATACTATAACTGTGTATGGTGACAGATGTTAACTAGACTTAACTATGATCATTCCACAATATATGCAAACATCAAATCATTATGTTATACACCTGAAACTAATAGTTATATATCAATTATACCTCAATTTTTAAAAAGAGTAACATTTTCAAATAAGATTTTCAACACGTGTAAAAAAATTTTATACTGAAAAAAAATGGGGAGGGTGGAAATTAACATTTTCTAAAACTCCAGGTATGTTTTCATACTGTTCATCAGTAAGCAGCCAAAATGAATACCATATAGAATACCACATAGAGAACTTCCTGAATATGTTCAAATTAGAGAAGCATCACCCAAAAACATCATCACGTATCTGAACAAGTAACTTATTTGAATTATGTTCATCTTTTTTGCACAAAGATGATGCCAACCAACCTATCACTGGAAGGACATTTAGACTGTAATTTTTCCAGTTCTGAGGAAGAGGTGATTTCGAGCCATCTTCTGTTTTCTAGTTCTTCATACATGAGTGTAGCTAGCTCATAAAGATCACTGATTAATGGTTTTCTAAAAAGAAAAGCAAACCAACTTACCAAGCTAGACAGAACAGAATAGTCAAATAAGGTTTGACGGATTTATAGAGAACAGTCATGGAAAAGGTGTTTTCTCTCTACTGCCTGATGTGAACAAGGAAGCATATATCACCAACTGCCACCACAGGGGAACTATTCTTAAGATGAAGCCCATAGAAGATAGCAGCAGAAACAAATGGAAAGTACTGGATACTTCTAGACTTCGAACTATATCTAGTGCACAACTCACCTATGAACTTTCAATTATATGAGGGAATAAATCTCCTTATTGTTTAAGCTAGAATCAAGTCTTTGATATTTGTGCCTCCTAACCAAGAGAAGCCAGGGTCCCTGACAATTTTGTGCAATCACCATATCAAGCCTGGACTGCCCTTTTAACGGGAATTTCAACAAACTTGAAGGGTATGTTTCCAATAACATGAATAACAATATATATTATATGACTTCATAAAATTCCCATTTTAGAATTTGAAGAGCCCTTAAAGAGTATGATGTAACTGAAACCGAGGTACCTATGTGAACCGAAGAAGCCTATGTGATTATCAATTGGGAGAAACACAGCATACATACTACAATATGATGAATTGAGAAATAAATACAAGCCCTCAAATTCAAAGTCACAAAAGTAAATGCTCCAAATTTCAAGCACAGATTTGTAAATGAGACTTCAATGAGCATTTGTTATCTTTCCATTCATTTACACATTTCTCAACAATTATACTTTACTCCATTAGGCCTAGGATCCTATATTTTAAGAAAGACCTTAACATACTTAACATGTTTCCTAATCCAAATAAATCATTAAAACTCTACAAGTACCCACCACCAGAGTCTCTCTAATGAAATCCTTTTAACCAAAGCACAGTCCTTATTTCCAATCTTTAAGTCAGTTACCTATTGTGAAAATAAATTCCTACTCCACTGTAACTAGATTTTCCTTAAGTCCTTAATAGAGAATGAGGGAAATCATTTATTTGGACATACTTATAATGCTTAAAACCAGTTTCAGGATTGTACCATCTGTCTAATGGGCTTTTCCTTCCCTAAATCACCTAATCTTCACTTGGAGATCCCTGAGTTATTTACTGGCTCAAGAAGTCCTTGTTCATCCGACTAGGAAATCTTTTTAACAGTACTTCAGGCAAGACTGTCCTTTTCTTTTGCCACTTCACCAAGAATGGTGCGCTCAAACATATTAATTTCAACTCTCTATCAACCAATTTCCAAAGGTCAGATATTTTTAATCGTTGGAATCAACTTTATTTATGGACAGACTTTCTTCATAATTCTGAGTTTTATTTTGTTTTTAAATAAGCCCATTTAGTCTGTGTAGACTTAAAAAAAGAGAGAAAAATATAATGAATTTAAAGAATTATAGAAAACTGGCAGAGTACTAACAAAGTAACCAGGTCTAAAAAAATTAAATGCAAAAGAAAACAAGCAAAAATACAAATGCAAATAAGAAGGAAGTTAAATTTAACTTTCTGCCAGAAAAAGGGAGTCTCCTTCAGAGTAAGATGCAACAGAAATGCAAGGAAGAAACAGATTTAAAATTCAATCTACACTCACATTAGACTATGCACTAACTGCAGGCAGAACTCAGCATTTCTCTTTTCATCTCTAGCCCAGTGTATAACACTATAGGCAGTAGGTTAGCTGCTCACGGGTGAGTCTATGGGTATGGAAGGGAAGGAAAGGAAAGAAGTACAAGTAAATCTGTCAGTTGCACTGACTGTCATCTTTAGGCCAGAACAAGTTGTGACTGCCTAAGATTATTATTAGGTCAAAAGATCTTTGATTATTTTTATCTGAGGCTGAACTAAAAAGTTGTATTTACACCCTGGGATAAATGAGATCTCAGAGAGCTTATACTAACTGTTTCACTGTATATAAATGACTGATGTACCTAACTCCCTAGCACCTTTCTGCCTTCTCAAATCTATGACTGCCTAAAACACATCTTCTCTTATATGTAGCATTAATACACATTAACATTTGAAAAACCCTCTGGATAGTATCCAACACGACAGACCTTTGTTCCTAAGATTACAGAGACAAGCAGACAGGAAGTTGGAAAAGCAAAGAAACAAATCTTGGAATCCTTTTACTCCTCTATCAGCATCTTCACTGAGGTTTTCAAGTCAAATTAACACATCTACTGAGATCTCAGATTTACTACTTCTTTGTCGTCATTAAAATAATATACTCTTCGAGGTCTTTATTTTTATTTTTTTATTTTTTTGGCCGCGCAGCATGCGAGATCTTAGTTCCCCAACTAGGGATCGAACCTGTGCCGCCTGCAGTGGAAGGGCAGAGTCTCAAGCACTGGACCGCCAGGGAAGTCCCTCCTTGAGGTTTTTAATATCGCACATTTGGTTTACTACAAGAACCATCAAGTAGCTGTCTTATTTGTATTCCTTCAATGTGTTCTACCACCAGCTCTCTAGTTCTTGAAGCTACAACTTTTGCTCGTTGCCTGGATATGAACTTCTGACAACCTGGGTTATGGTCACTATTTTTTTCCCTTGGGTTATTTTTCTCAATTGCATTTTCTAATTCTAGGCCACAAGTAGATTGAACAAAATCAATTATTCCCAAATTGTGATGAGAGGGAGTGGAGGCACAGTGATTTGTTTATATCAGTAAATACGTTTAAATAAAGTTATATAGAGAAAGAGGGTACAATGACTACAAATGCAATGAAAACACATGAATGATCACCTTAACTGTATCAGCTTTCAGAAAGATACATCATATTCATTCTATGTATATTACATGCCAGTTTATGTCAGTATTCTGGATTTTCATTTCATTTTACTATTTCAACACAAAGTAAATTTGTATCATATATACTATGCAAACTATCCCAATGACTATCTGAAAAAACTTTTAAACAAAGAGCAGATTCTTACAAGAATCACAACCTTTAGTTCCAACAACCAGGACAATAAAGAGATGAACCATGCAAGGATCCAAAAAAAGGCAATTTTTGGAGAAGCCAAACTCAAGATCTATTATTGGAAAACATGCACTTTATGTCCTTATACTATATACATCCTAGGATGGAGTGTTGTCATTCCACCCAAGAAACACAGAAAGAGAGAAAGACAAAAAGAGCTCACCAACTCTGACTTAAGACTTCTCCACATAAGCAACTCTTAGCATGTAACTTGCCCTAGCCATTTATAATTACTGAGGAACTAAAACAACCAAAACCTACTTTGCCCAAAAGTGATAGACAATGCAACAAATGACCAATTACTTGAAGGAAGGAGGAAAGGGAGAAAGATCTATCATCAGGTGGAATTTCAGGGAAAACTTCCAGCTCACCACAAACCAGGAAGAAACTATTTGTAAAAGTGTCAAGGTTTTCATACTAATATCAGGAATGATTAATTATTGTATCTCCTTCAACTCATTTTTTTACTTCTGGAATTTTTACTATCTGCACCCCAAGTCTCTTACCTCAGAGTTTCTATCTTTTTATAATTTTGCTGTGTACTGAGGTATTTTACTACCGGATTTTCTAAGCAATCAACTTAACTTAATGACGATTCTCTCCTATAATCTGCCATACATATTCACAAATATTTACATATAATTTCTATTAATTAAACTGCTCCTGAGACCCATCACATATATTCACAAGAATATACACTTGTCCTTCAGCCCGGGGTTCTCTGTCTCTCAGGTTGTTCTTCAACTCAAAGAAGAGAAATCACAGTACCATCTCCATGGCTTAAGGCAGTCTGTCTGACAGCCCCACCAGCTGTTTGGTTCAGCTGAGGTTGACAGGTTAGCTGTGGGGGTAGGAATGGAAAGGAGGTATAGACACTATAAGGAACCACTCAAATCCCACTTCAAGGAAGGACTGTTGGCAGTCTTGCGTACAAGAGAGCCTCTAGCAGTGAGTTGTCTTAAGCTGAGGAGAGCAACCTTGCCTGAGGTCACACTCCTTCCCATGTCCAGTATGGAATGAATGGAGTATAAAGGCCTGGTCATCTTGGCCCAACCAGTGATAGCCATTCTAGCTCCGGGGCTCCCCATGGAGTTGGCCAAGGCTGTCACAGCTTAACTTCTCCCTCTGTCCAATCCTGGTTCCATTTCCCACCTTCCACAGTGCTGATCCTAAAGGTACTCCTTACTAAACATCTTGTATGCTAAACTCACTGCAGAGGAATCCAACCAACAACAGGCTAAGTGCAATAAGCCTCCAGCCTCCATTTTCCCGCAATCCTCTAACCAATTACTTTTTCAGGACAAATTCCTAGAAGCCTAATAACCAAATCAAGTGATGGAAAATTTTTTAAATTCTTCATACATATTACCAACCAGAAAGACTAAAAAATGTTTTATAAGGTCTTTTTATCTTCTTCTTCAAATTCCTCTGAAATGAAAAGGTAATTTTTAATTAATAAATCCATAACAGTAAAGACAACGAAAGTATACTATCTGTAGATCAGAAATTTTTAGAAATTCATATAAGACAGGAAGTAGATGAGATCAGAATAAGAAATAAGGGCAGAAAAACCACAGTCCAAAATGTACACAAAATATTTTCTAGCATTTTCTACTCCAAAAGTAGAAGCAGTTTTTCATAAGGAACCCCAAACTCTGAAAATTTCACACACAAGAGGACTCAGGACAGTATTTAAAGAACTGTCCTCAGAATAAACAGGGCCAGTAAATCCCCCACATACATACATCTGAGCAGCCTACTCACATGTTCACTGAATAGTTTATGTTTATTTCCCAGTAAGTTATGGTTTGTAATCTGTTCTCTAAAAATAAACATCTATTTGGCTGGGGCTAGAGGTTCTCATCTTGTACTGGTTCCAAAGAAAAAAGGAGAAAGTAGCCTGAGATAACAAATGTCTCCATAAATTGGTGATGATGTGTGGAAGGGGCTACTAGAGACTGGCTCTAGTCTGGGACTTCTGGGAAGACAGTGAAGAGAATGGATAGAAAGATTTCAATAATTAGTATTTTTAAAGGATTTTTTTTAAGTGGGAATGTGGTCAATAAAGCCTCAAGGATGAATTCAAACAACTCTCGTCTAGGAAATAAGAAGCCATCAGCTTGAAATACTAAAATATACTGAAATACAAATGTATACCTCTGCATTCATTCTCTCCTTCCTCTTCTTCCTATTACAAATTATCAATGGCCAGTTCATCTACACAACGGCAAACGGGTCGCAGAGCACACCTTTTCAAGGACTTAAATCCTTGGGTTACCCTTCTCTTCTCCCATCTTTCTAGATTACTCCTACAAGCTAGTTTGCCAACACTGTCTAGTTGCCACATGCCCCCTACACCACACCTTCCAAAAAAGAAAACACCTCCAAAACAAATATCCCTGGATTCTTCATTACCTTCACAGCCAAACATTTTATAAATGGAAAATGTAGCTAAATTCATAGACTAATAAAGTTTTAAAAGCTTTTATTTATTTGTTTGTTTGTTTATTTATTTTAAATGACCACTAAGCAATAAGGACATACAGCCACATATGCAAACCTAATTTTCAAGTCTGGGTCTCTGTTTATATGCTCTAAAACTAGTGCGCTCTCCAAATAAAAGGTGCAGCATTGAAAAATCAGATTGTGCAGAACTGTGTATTATTTCTTTTGTATAATGCTTTCCTTTAAATAAGTTGCTGTTTTAATTAAAATATCTAATAGATTGTTAAATAATTATCAATACCTATTACCCTGAAGTCACTTTGCTAAGTATTAGCCAGTTTCACACAGGAATCCCAAAACCCCTGAGCAGCTACCACATCCTCCCCTCGTTTTACAGATTACAGATAGAAGCTCAGGGATGTTTATAATCTGTTAAAAGTAATGCAGCTGAACCACAGAGATGAGCTGGGGAATAAGCCTAATTTCAAACCCCACAGCATACCGGTCTCAAAGTAAAATTGTACTTTCATTAGGAAAGTATTCACTTGACCTAACATAATTAAACACGAACAATCCTTCGCTCTAGCCCTGAACAAACCTTTCAGTTGTTCAGCCCACCTAAATACATCTGTGGAAAACAAGCATAAGTCCATCCACTCCACATTAAAATGTTTACTATCATCAAAAGGTTAAAATGTTATTGATTATAAGAATATAGTTTTTCTTTGCCTTTGGTATTGAGGGGTGTGGTGTTTGGGGGGTGCTTTTAACTTCCTAAGTGAGTAATGGCCTGGGTCAGCCGCTTGGTACCATAAAAAGGACACATCTTGGGGGGCTACCTTCAATAATTTAACTCACTTATTTCCGATAGGAAAAGCTTTTCAAATGAATTTTAAAAATGCTTTATCCAACGCTCAAGCTCATGTGTGATCATCTCTCTATGTTACTTACCTTTACAATAACATGGCTACAGATCAGGTTTTCATTCAAATATTTTCTAGCTAAAATCGAAGTTAAAGGATAAAGAAGAGAAATGCTGAGTTTGTGTTACTTTTCCAAAGTGTCCATCAATGGCTCACTTTCTACTATAGTTGAGCCTTTAAAAAGCAGGAATTTTTCACAAGGCAGAACAAAACGGTAGTACACATGTAGGTGGTTATCAGTTTAGCTGAATGGTCAACTTACTGCTGATTCACATGGAGTCATGTGAACTTTTCCCATTTCCATCTACTCCACTTTTCTCATTGTTTTTAGGATGTTCATAGGCTTATAATTTCTTAGAAGTAAAAATGGTAATACTTCCGATAGAGTACAATTACAGTTATTTTGAATACATATATAAATCAAACAGTAATTAACAAGGGGAAAAAAATTACCTTTTGGATAATCTTCCAATAAGAGGTTGAAGTGACCTAATTGACAAAAGAAATCAGACTCCACCTTTCCTTCAGCTTTTAAGATTAGAGATTCGTAGCAGCGAACAGCCTAGAAATAAAAAATACAAACATTTTAAAAAAAGACAAAACCCTAAAATACATTTCCTTCCTGAGATAATGCATATAATCCTCCATTCAATCACCCAAGAAATCAATATATTTTACTTCTACCTCAGATATAGTCAATGCAGCATTCTTCTAAAATACCTATTTATTAAAAGAACCACTAATTATGGCATAAGTGCTTTTCCTACTTATAAAATGGAAATACTTGCCAAATAAGATAATGTAGGAACACTCTGATAACTTTATTCATTAGCTGTAAATCTAAATTTTTACTGTGGTCCATGTTGACATAAACAAATATATTAATCTTTTCCACAAATGGTAAGAACTCTATTGAATCACATGAGAATTCACAGAATCTCCAGAGTAATAACAACTACCATTTATACTGAAGAGCTACTTTTTACCATCACCTCTCCCCACTTAAACTACCATAAACTGTCTTTCAATTATCTTCTTATGATACATGTCATACCCACCAACTCTAACTCTATTCCTAATTTTACCCCCATATTCCAATACATGCATATGCACTCACTCTCAGTTTGTTCCCTGAAGAAAAAAAATAACAGTATTTTAAGGATATCATTCTTTTTTTGTAATCCTAGAAGAGTGCAGAGGGAAAAAAATGAATGATGGAAAGAACAGGATTCTGGAGTCTGACAAATTCCAGTCATCATTAGCTACAGGAGATCCTGGGGAACTTATCGTCTCTGATTCTCAGTTTTAATAACACTCAAAGGGCTGATTAAAGGATTAAAACTAGAAAACTTCTCTAAGGGTTTATCACAGTGCTTAGCACTCCATAGGTACTTAATAATTGTTTCTCTACCTTCTACTTAGGTTAAGATAAAAAGCTCCAACTCTTCCAGGATTGTTTCAAGCACCCCAATAATTTTGTCAAAATTTCCCTAACAATCTACACTACAATGTTGTTATGTGTTACTGTGTGCTGGAGTCACTGAAGAAAAAAATGTGTATGATTTCTCAAATGTCTGAGTACACTCTCAGGTTTGGTGTCCACAAAAAAAGTTTCCATTATCAAAAAATCCTTTCACCACCGCTTCAAGAGCTTTTGATGGGATAAGAAAGTGTGACGTGGAGCATGGTACCCACTTAAAATGCCTTGATTTTTCCTCTCCTGTAAAATATAAAGCCTTTGATGGAAGAGTTTCAAAATTTTAAATTTACCTATCCAAAGCACATACATAAATACTTATCAAGTTTGGAGAAGCCATCCTAAACAAGGCGAATTTTGGGATGATTTTACCATCCTTAAAGTCTAACATTTATTAAAAGGGACTGTCTTCAGTTCTTATTCCACTCTTAGCTATCTAAATGTACATATATACCAAATCACAATCACTGAAAACTTATCATTCTGCTTCCTTATAATTAAAAGAGCCTGAATACTACACTGACATCTCAGAAATTACTATAATTTGGAGGCATGAAATTTCAAGATCCTCTTTATTTAAGTCATACATAATCCTATCTGGCAGATGGTTAGAGTACAAAAATATAATAGTGCTTTTTAATATCAGTGAAATTCATAAAATTATTGGGCTACAGTATGACAATTATTAATTTTTACACTAAATAAAATGACTTTTTAAAGCTAATAATGGCATTGTAAATAAAGCTAGTTATTGTCTTAGTTTTTTAAACTCTTAAGTTAGATATTTAGAAACTTTTGCTACTCCTCTCTGATAATTTCTCATGGCTGATTAGCACTAAATTTACAAGCAAATATAGTTTCATGGTGAAAAAGATTTCAAGATACAAACACGAATAAATTTTCTTTAATAATCTAAGTAAAAAGATGGCAACATCCTATACTTCCTCTTATCACCAAACATTGATGCCACTACCATGATCATCTATTACCTATCTTCCATATTCCATTAAAAAAAGGAACACATCTAAAGTGAGTACTATACACAACTCTGATCACCACGAAACACAACACCAGGCAAAAATCAGAATGGACACTCAGACTCAATCAACAGAGTCATAGTAATTTCCAACAAAGCCAGCACGTACCTAAACCTACCAACTATGTTAGTGGTCAAAAATGACGCTGACAGAGCCAAATACCAAACAAAATGAAGATGAGCAAAAAGGCAGAATAAACGTTCCAAGCACCTTATGTCACCATTTCATGGTGAAACTTCATGAATTTATTTGAAGTGCTTGAGGTAAGCACTGATATTAGATACAGGCAAATACTAACAATTTTTTAAAAGCATTTAAAGGAAAATAAATAAATGGGGCAATTTTCCAATACTACTAACTCATAAAATAAGCTAGAATGAAACAGTGTTTTTATAGTAATGAGTTTCATTAAAAGGCTAGTTTTAAACATAGACGATATGTAGTTAGTTTAGATTTAGAACAAAGTTCAGGCAAACTTCTATAAAGCAAAACTATTTCTTGTTAAAAGGGTTACTTTTTTTTTAAACATCTTTATTGGAGTATAATTGCTTTACATGGTGTTAGTTTCTGCTGTATAACAAAGTGAATCAGCTATACATAAACATATATCCCTTTACCTCCTCCCTCTTGCGTCTCCCTCCCACCCTCTCTATCCCACTCCTCTGGGTGGACACAAAGCACCGAGCTGATCTCCCTGTGCCATGTGGCTGCTTCCCACTAGCTATCTATTTTACATTTGGTAGTGTATATGTGTCCATGCCACTCTCTCACTTCATCCCAGCTTACCCCCTTCCCCTTCCCCACGTCCTCAAGTCCATTCTCTACGTCTGCATCTTTATTCCTGTCCTGCCCATAGGTTCTTCAGAAACCTTTTTTTTTTTAAAGATTCCATATATGTGTGTTAGCATACGGTATTTGTTTTTCTCTTTCTGACTTACTTCACTCTGTATGACCGTCTCTAGGTCCATCCACCTCACTCCAAATAACTCAATTTCCTTTCTTTTTATGGCTGAGTAATATTCCATTGTATATATGTGCCACATCTTCTTTATCCATTCATCTGTTGATGGGCACGTAGGTTGCTTCCATGTTCTGGCTATTGTAAACAGAGCTGCAATAAACATTGTGGTACATGACTTTTTTTTTTAATTTTTTAATTTATTTTTGGCTGTGTTGGGTCTTCGTTGCTGCACACAACAGGCTTTCTCTAGTTGCGGCAAGCAGGGGCTACTCTTCGACGCGGTGCGCAGGCTTCTCATTGCGGCGGCTTCTCTTGTTGTGGATCACGGGCTCTAGGCGCACGGGCTTCAGTAGTTGTAGTTGTGGTGCACGGGCTTAGCTGCTCCGTGGCATGTGGGATCTTCCGGGACCAGGGATCGAACCAGTGTCCCCTGCATTGGCAGACAGATTCTTATCCACTGCACCACCAGGGAAGTCCTACGTGACTCTTTTTGAATTATGGTTTTCTCAGGGTATATGCCCCGTAGTGGGATTGCTAGGTCATATGGCAGCTCCATTTTTAGTTTTTTAAGGAACCTCCATACTGTTCTCCATAGTGGCTGTATCAATTTAACATTCTAAAAGGGTTACTTTTATATTCTTGCTTTTTTTTTTCATTTTAAATGTGCACAAATAAAATCATCCCCATATAGGATAAGTATGGTTTTGTACACATATGCAGAGAAAAACAACTAGAATATAAAACAAATGATAAAAATAGAAAGTCTATAGTCCAGCCATACGGAAACTTTTTATTTTGTTCATTTTACAATTTTTCATAATTAAACTTAAAAATTATTATGCTTTCCTCCAGGATTCATACTACCTTTAGTGTAAGGATAGTCAGAAATGTGAATGAAAATCATTTGTGCTAGATCATCATCATTCAACAGAGCACGTTCTGCAATGACAAAAATGTTCTATAATCTGTGCTGCCCAATATACTAGACATATGTGGCTATTGAGCACTTGAAACATAGCTAGTGCAAGACAACTGAATTTTTAAATTGTTTCATTAAATTTGTGTTTAAATTTATATAGACATATGGCAAATGAACAGTGTAGACTAGGTAATTTTTAAAGCTTAAAAACAATGAATATTCAACCCATATGCTAAATACTAAGAAAGCAAAATTTCTTATTTTTATAAATGAAAAATCTATAAAAATAATGGTATATCTTGCACTGGGGATGAGCAACACCTTCCACAAAAATCACTTTAAAATCCTATAGTTGTTTATAGTTAGTGGCTTACACATCTATAATCGTTACCACCTACTTCCAAAAATAAAACATTGAGAAGGGAAATAAACAGTTAATCATTAAATACTAGAATCAAAGGAGAGTAAAGATTCTCCCAGCTACATAGAGAGACTGGATGTCTTCCTCCCATTACAGTGCCATTTTCCACAATGTTCAATATAATTTGTGCTCGGTAGCTGCTTTGTTTTTATTATTTGAAAAAAGTTATCTCAGAATAGTAATATTATCATTACCCGCTATTTCTAAACCTTGACAGATTACCGCTCATAAACACAGACATGTAAATAATTTGGTTTTTTTATGTTAAGCATTAAAGTCTTTTATGAGAAACTTGGTCAATCCCTAGCTAAAACATGAGTTGTTACTCTTTTAGAATTGTTAAGTATAGGCAACATCTAAACAAATGTGGGTTTTTTTCCAATTTGAAAGATTAGCTGAAGTAGTTGGGTGACATACAAATGGTAGAGAAAATTAATGTAGATTTAAATACCCCAAATGGTTTCCTTTTTTTCTCTTTCTTTCTTTGTAATGCCTGCCATGAATGCCCAAAGCCAGAATCTCAACACAGTCCTAGTTTGGTGGCTCCCATTCTGAAGCCCTTCCTCTTCTATCAGGTTCCCAGATGCTTACTGCCTCCCTCACCTGTAAGCTCCGTCAGGGGAAGGGCTATATCCCAACCCATGATCACACGATAGGGGCTTAATATACATTTCTTGAATTAATGAAGCAATGTCATGTTATTATTTTAGGTTCTCGAATAACCCTCTCTTCTTTGTCCTAAACTTC